AAAGAATCATTTCCCATGGCAATCTGGCCAGGCAGCAGCCAAACTCTCCTAGTCAGTTCTTTGTTTTTGGGTAGAACAATTTTGGCAGACTACAGTGAGCTCAAAACGAGAGCAATACAAGCAATTAGCCAGCTGATGTGGCTTGATCTTATGAAGCAAGATGAAAAGTGAGAAACTAATACAGAAAATTACAGGTCTGATAAGGGCAAAGGTGATAACGATCAATGCATTTTGGAGGGTGAAAACACAAAGAAGAGTTAGGAGTTATTTAAGGGGGTACAAAAAAGGATGGAGAAGTCTTCAGGGTTTTGTTAGAGGAAGGGGAACAGAAAGTAGACAGGACAAGAGGCTGCATAGCACCAGACAAGTCTAAACACAGACTGATTTACAAGGCAGTTCCAGATTACAAGGAAGCAGTAGAGGTGACAGGAAGAAGTAAAGAAAATGAACGTGTAGGGTCTCACGCTGTCTCAAAGATGGTATTGGAAAATGCACCACCTAAGAAATGGTAAATACAAGTATAAGAGGCAGGACAGAAAACATGCAGGAGAAAAGGAGGAAGGTGGTCTAGGTAATCACATCAGTAGTGTTCTCTGATTTGAGGAAGAGGATAGAAGGGATAAGACAAAAATACAAAGGCCTCAGTAAAAATCAAAAGAGATTTACTACTAGAGATTCGAGCAAAAAAAAAGAACAGAGCCAGAAACACGTTTCCACATGCCCAACTCAGTTTCACTGGCGTAAATCTAAGTCAGCTCTATTAATTTAACGGATATTAACCACATTTTACAATGAAGCAGATGACAATAGACTCTGACTCACTTATATCTTGCGTGAGGCAGGCGAGAGTTGAAAGGATCAAAAGCACTGGAAGCTGCAGTGAGATAAAGTAGGAAGAGAATTCAATAGGTGGGAAAATCTGAAAGGTTATGCATGATATTCAGAGGCTCTCTCAGGAAAAGAATTTTCTTCCACAGGGTGTGAAGTATACTTCATGCAAACGTATGCTTCCGCATAAAGGAGATGGGTTCCAAAGATACTTTTCCTGTAGTTAATAAAATAGCCTTTTGCAATGACATAGAAGCAACAGATTATGGAAGACGCACCTAATGCTTTCAGGAGGAATTGCCCACCCTGACAATTTATTGTCCTAATCCTTCTCACCGTGTGGGGTACCAAGGGGGAGACAGAAACACAGCAAGAGCACATCCTGGAAACATGAGAGTTTTGTGCAGGCTTGTATCTCTTTCTTTGTATTTTAATTCTCTGACTTTTTAGTTCCAGTTTTAAGCATTGGTTACATATTGTTATTATCCCTCGTTTCCCCTACACTTACCTCCTTATGTGCCATAACAGATGGGAAGATGTACGGTTTTTTATTCAGTTTCTTTTTGGTTATATATACTAGACATCTGCAGGACAAGGAGACATAAATGGTAACTACCCTACAGAGAGCACAGGGCAAGACCTTAGTGCCACAAGCACATAGGCAGGTAATAGTTGTTAAATCCCAGTAGAACAAATACAGCTTTGGGGAGGGGAAGGGTCTGAAATAATAAAAATAAGGCAAAAAAAAGGCATACTGATAATACAGAACCATAAGTTAGAAGCCATAAAAGTGAACTCCCAGAAGACTGAAATTCGGAGAAAAGCTGAAATATCCACAGTAGTTACCTGATTATTGAAACTAAGCTTTACAAACTTTTTTAGGCAGGTGAAATATTTAATTTCTTTAACGGACAGAAATTATGGTGTAGTATATTTATGAAATAAAAAAGTATGCTTTGTTTGCTTCTGAATAATGACAAATACGCCCAGAAGTAGTGCTTTACACTAAGATACATTTGTGTATTTTTTGCCTCATGACATTTCTAAAACAGGGAAAAAGTATTGTTAAAATAGAAAACACCAATATCATAGACCAATAAACAAAATGGAAAGTTACATCTGTAGGGCTTAGAAATTATACAAAAGCAAAGAACCAATGCAATAATGCACACATAAGACACATGTTTGTACAGAAGCAGCTTGGGAAAAGAACACAACATCCCTACATTTATTCATTTTAATGCATCGCAACACAATGTTGAGGGCACATAATAGGCTGTCCAATGAAGCAACTTTCATATAATATTAGTTATAAAAAGCATTTTGGAAGACTGAATTGCAGCAGTAGTAACATTTTCAATATTACTCTAAAAATTATTCCAGTCTACTCATTCTGAGAGAAAGAAACTTGCATGAAAGATGATTTTCAGTTCTCCTTCCTTCAAATCTGCAATTTTTCCATAAAAGACCTTGGAAAAATGAAAAACAAGTGAGCACGTTAGGGTTTTTTTTTTCCTGATATATGTACAGTCATGCATGTAATAAACTTAATGTGCACGTATAGTTCTACTGAATTCAAAGTGTGACTCCATATGATAGAGTGCTAGTGGAAAGTGCAGTTGCACAAAAAAGGTGACGTGATACAGTATCAAACAGCAGGTATGAGGAAGGCTCAAGAAAAAAAAATTGCAGCATAAGTGTCCTGTCCACGTATTGATGGGCTAATTACAAATATTTAAAACTATTATTGTTGCTTTGGTTGCTAAAATGATTTGTGCTTATTCCAGTGATTTACAATACAATCAAGTTACGAAGAAAATAAAATAGATCAAAAGCAATTATGTTAAAAATGCAATGGATAATTTACGGATCATTAAAAACATAAGCAACTCTCTTAACTATCCAATAAATCAACAGCTGCAAAATTATTTTAAATTTTATTAAAAAATCCAGGAAACTTATAAATCTCGTTTTATGCTCCAAGAGGATACACAAATTAGTTTAGTCTTTCATTGCAACTGCTAGACAAGTAACCGTATTGGTCTGCCAGTACTTGATCAGACATTGGTCTGTCAGAAGACATGAAGTCCCCAAGGGCTAATTCGCACAAACCTCTTCAATAGCTTGTCAGACAGTTTGTTTCTGAGACGCTGAAATAAGCCCCAGCGCTCTGCTCAGCGACACGCTCACGGAGCGGAGAGGGCAGGCTGCCTCGAGCTGCCGGGGTCACAGCCTCTGACGCTAAATGAAGCCAAGGTGGCCAGGCCCTTGGCAGCGCGTGCCTGGGGAAGTCCCTCTGTGCACACCCACGGTGACAGGCAGACAGCACCGATCCACCTCTCAGTTATTTCACTCTGTGCGTTTCTAAACTATTGGTTTGCAAACGTCAGAGCGTCTTCGGCCGTCTTTCAAAAGTCCGAACGACGCTGTCGTGTTTCCAGAGACGGCGACCTGAATCTGGCAGTTCCTACTCAGGACAAGCGTCCCTCACGGGATGGCAGCGCTTAGGCCAGAGCAGAGACACAGGGAGTGGAGCCTGCTCCCTGGCAGTGAAACTGTCCTTCTCCACACACACAGCCTGGATCATTAGGGAGGGATCCTGGACCTTCGACGTTATGGGTCTGAACTAATATTCAGTCAGATAAAGAAAAATCGAAGCCGATTTAACTGAGCATCAGACCTGGCCTGAGCCCTCCACCTTCTGCTACACTCTGGCTGCCAAGGCAAAGGCCCTACAAACCCTCTTCCATGCTGCCCTTTTTGCTCTGAAGGCGCACCCAGCAAACACCCACAAAACGACCCCGTTTCCTTCAAATCCTCCTTTTGCCGGGACGCGGACAATTACTGTGACACTCATCAGGCAGCTGGTTCGCGGAGCTGCCCACCTACCCCGCAGGTTTACACCGCTATCCACCTCTCCCCCACGCTCT